CTGAGCGTCATGTGATCACTCAAACACCTGAATGTTTCTCTCTTCACTCTGAGCGTCATGTGATCACTCAAACACCTGAATGTTTCTCTCTTCACTCTGAGCGTCATGTGATCACTCAAACACCTGAATGTTTCTCTCTTCACTCTGAGCGTCATGTGATCACTCAAACATCTGAATGTTTCTCTCTTCACTCTGAGCGTCATGTGATCACTCAAACACCTGAATGTTTCTCTCTTCACTCTGAGCGTCATGTGATCACTCAAACATCTGAATGTTTCTCTCTTCACTCTGAGTTTCTCCTCCAGCCTCCTCGTATTTATTCTGCAGAAAGTCAGAGTGAGCTGATGTGAGAACACAGCAGGATATAATCAGGAGAATTCACCTGGAGCCAGTGGGAGGGGCCAGTGGGAGGGGCCAGTGGGAGGGGCCAGTGGGAGGGGGTGGTGACCTTTATTCTCTGTGATCGCTGCATGACCATTTATTTTACATAAAAACGTATTTAAGTTCAAACAGCTTTACGATTCACAAGTGGTCAGTGTAGATAAACGAAAAAACAAACACACCGATCACATGAGCACACAAAGGAACACACACACACACACACACACACACACACACACACACACACACGCACACACACACACATTCCTTCAAACGGTGTGCATACAGAGAGAGATTCGGTCCACTCCCTAAACACACTCTGACTTACATCACACTCTGTACTCTGACCGTCTTATCAGAGAGAGAGAGCGAGCGGGCGAGCGAGAGAGAGAGAGAGCGGGCGAGCGAGAGATAGAGAAAGTGAAGGAAAACACAGAGAGAAGGACGTTGGGCGAGTGACATAACGGGGAAATAGGAGAGAGAGAGAAACTAACAGAAACTCCGAGTTAGTTTGGAAATGACAGCTGAACACACACGAACCCATCTGTAGAGGTACGCCACACACACACACACACACACACACACACTCTCCACAGGAAGTTGGGTTCATGTAATGGATCATTAAATGTTGTAAAAGTCTTTTATTTTGACGACTGAATTAACTGAAAGGAAAGCGGTGACAGACAGGAAGTGACAGAGAGAGAGAGAGAGAGAGAGAGGGGCGATCGAGCGTGTGTTAATGATGTGTTAATAGCAGCACATGTCGAGCTCTTACTGTGACAGGTTCAATAAACATCCTGTCTCCTGCTGAGAGACCCCCCCGCCCTCCAGGATTCACAGACCTCGTCTCCTGAACCAAGGAAAGGATACATCCTTATCACCTCAATACTTAACACGATAAGGATGCTTCTTTACCTCCTTACTACATCACTAGGACACTTCTTTATCTCCTTGATCCCATCATCACAACACTAGGATGATTCTTTACCTCCTTATTACATCACTAGGGTGCATGTTTAACTTCTCATCTCCTAGTTGGATAGAATAAGGACACTCATTTATCTCCTCAAGTATTCAATTTCAGGCTGTGATGCTTCCTTTTCTCCTCATTACATCACTAGGAAGTGTCCTTACCTCCTTATTACATCAGTAGTTTGCCTCCTAATTTCTTCACGAGGAGAATACTTTACTTCCTTGTGTCTGACTTGCATCACTAGGATGCTTTTCTATGTCCTTATTACTTCACTAGTTTGCCTGTTTAACACTTAATTACATCACAAGGAAGCTTCTCATCTCCTCATCACATAACAAGGATGCTTCTTTACCTCCTCATTACATCATAGAGGATGATACTTCACTTCCTTATTCCATCACTATGTTGCTTCTTTTCCTCCTGGTGTAACCTCTAGAAATCTCCTAACCCCATCCCAAATTTCTTCATTACATCAGTAGGACACTAGATCATCTCCTGTCGTCAATTGACGATAAGGACACTTCTGTGCCTCCTAGTAACCTAAGCAGGACCCTTCATAACTTCCTCTTGGCCTCAATAGATAATAAGGTCCCTTCTTCTTCTCCCAGTTTAAAAACCTACCTAACTGGCAAAGTCGATGCTTTTTCTCCTTCCTACATATTCAGGATCTACTCCTCAACACAGTCCCTCTTTTCTTTCTTAGCGTATATTACCCCCAGGAAGATTAGTTACCCCCACGCTACAAAACTAAAACAGTCCTTACTTTCTCTGAAACCTAAGACGCATCCTTGCTTCCTTGCTTCCTTACTTATTTCTTTAGATTGTGTCGTTAGGAGGCTTTTTTCCCTCCTTGTTTGTTTTCATTACAGCGTTCAGCCGCTCTTTTTCAGCATCATTGTTTTCCTCACTTCCTTAATGAGGATGTATCCTTCCTTCCATGCCGTCTTATAAGGATGCTTCCTCACTTCCTCACTTACTAGAAAGTTTCCTCTCTTTTGTTTTTCATCAGTTGAATTTTAACTCTCAGATAATCTGCGTCTGTGCTCGGAGACTTTGTTGTTTGTTTGTGCTCTGACTCCCACCTTCACATATGCTCGTCCATATTTAATGCGCACGCACACGCACACACACACACACACGTGCACACACACACACACACACACACATACATGCACACACGGCATCTAGCAGAGTGTGTGTGTGTATGTGTGTGTGTGTGTGTGTGTTTCCTGTGGGTCTGATTGTGTATAAATGGAATGGTGTCAGTGGCCGGTCTGCCTATGTTTGTGTTTCCATGTTTTGTGTGTGTGTGTGTGTGTGTGTGTGTGTGTGTGTGTGTGTGTGTGTGTGTGTGTGTGTGTGTGTGTGTGTGTGTGTGTGTGTGTGTGTGTGTGTGTGTGTGTGTGTGTGTGTGTGTGTGTGGCTCCCCGCTGTCTGCCACCATCTGCTGTTCTGTGTGTCTGAAGCGTGAGTCGGTGATGAGTCGATGGACGAGAACACAGGAAGCTGTTCTCTGCTGATTCGACACTTCCTCACGACGTTCCTCTGTTGCCATGGAGACGACTTCAAAACTGAAATACATGACTGCGGGGTCTGATTTAAAGATGACTGATTCTCTGACTCTGGAGTTCGGTTGAAAGACGCAGAGGAAGTCAAAGAAAGTTTCTAATGAGGATGTGAGGAGGAAGAGAACGCCTCCTAGCTAGGACTCAAAAGATGTACACAAAGTCCTCGTCTCCTTGACTCCTAACGAGGGGAGAAGGAAGCTTTCTAGTGCAGCAGTGAGGATTTAAAAATAGTTTTTTAGATGCGCAGAGAGGGGGGAGGAGCCTATGAGAAGTAAAAGAGGCTCCTCACAAAGACTGCAAGAAGGTCACAAACTTCTCGAGCATGCTCAGTAATTTTGTTTCTACTTCCTGTCTGCAGCTCGGCCGCCATGTCTAAAGCGACGGTGAAGAAGCTGCACTGGCGCTCCAAGGTGAATATACATTCATATGATTTAACCAATCAGTGAGAAGCTGAACGGTCAGCTCACCCGCCATCTCCTCCGTCTTTGTCCTCAGGTGCAGGAAAGCTTCGTCCCGCTGGGCGGCGGCTCCGGAGAGCTCGGTCTGGCCATCGGGGGCGGGGCCGACTACGGCGAGTTCCCCTTCGTCACTGCAGCTCACGGGGGCGGGGCCACGGTGAGCGACATCATCTTGGAGATCGGGGGAACGCCCGTGTTAGGGATGACCCTCGGTGATGTCAGAGGAGTCCTCAACTCCTGTCCTCATCCAATCAGAATCAAGACCGTCTCGCCAGGTCAGCAGGCACGATTAAACACACTCACACACACACAGACACACACACACACACACACACACACACACACACACACACACACACACACACACACACACACACACACACACACACACACACACACACACACACACACACACACACACACACACACACACACACACACACACACACACACTGTTCTGCACATGCTCAGTACGACTGCAGTCAACCTGGGACATTTCAGACTTTAAGCATGTCGACGGTGATTCTATTCCAATATTTATGTCTCAACGCCAATGTGCCCATTCATTCTGATGACATCACCTGTGTGTGTGTGTGTGTGTGTGTGTGTGTGTGTGTGTGTGTGTGTGTGTGTGTGTGTGTGTGTGTGTGTGTGTGTGTGTGTGTGTGTGTGTGTGTGTGTTGTGTTTCAGGTTCGTCCCTCTGTAAGGACCTCAGGTTGTACCTCAGCAAGTGTTTCACTCCGGGCTCCATGGACAGTCAGCTGCAGCAGCTCATCAGAGAGAACCTGTACCTGAGAGCTGTCCCCTGTAAGACACACACCTGCACACACACACACCTGCACACACACACAGAGAACACAACATCATGGCTTTGTGGTCACAGGGTGAAAACAATACAATAAGTGGATTTTTTCCTTTTCAAAGCTGATGGTTAAAGTTCAACCCGAGTGAGAACTCAAACAAACTGTTCGAGTGTTGATGATCTTTGTTAATGATTACAGGACGTGCAGGGTGTGAGTGTGTGTGTGTGTGTGTGTGTGTGTGTGTGTGTGTGTGGTATTGTAGGTGCTGCAGTCAGAGCGGTGAAGTTTGCGAGCCGTGTGCGTGCGTTTCACCCTTTGCACGCCATCATTTTGTCTCAATCTTTAGTGATATTCTTGTTTGTTTAATGAAACACACATGCAAGTTTTAGTCTCCACAAAATCTGACAGAGTGAGACCTCCTCAAACACAGGCAGAAGTGTAAATATCAAACCTTGTAAAATATTAAAACAAAATAAATTCTTTTCTGATTTCACTCGTTGTTCGTCAGTCAGCGATGACCTCTGTGTGTTGTAGTCCTCAGTCTGCGTCAGGACTACACGTCTGTCCCTCAGTGATGACATCACGCTGTCCTCTCTTGCAGGTACGACCCGGCAGCCTCGGGACGGGGAGATCTCAGGTGTGGACTACAACTTCGTGTCCATCGAGGAGTTTTTCTCCCTGGAGGAGTCCGGAGCTCTGCTGGAGAGTGGCAAGTTCAAAGGTGACAAAAACAAACGCACCTTTAATCATTTACACTGCAAAAAAGACAACAAAACAAAAACAGCAGACTGTCCCTTAATGAAACACATTCAGAGA